GTTAAATGCATGGCACCCTATGGATTCATAAGCTCTTCCTATAAGCCTGCCATTCCTCATAAGTCACTACTCCACAGCACAGTAGTCTCCTCTCTGAAACACAGATATGGCTGTGTCACCACAACCTTGCTCAAAAATCTGTCTTTTCTTTCTTTTTATTGCTTGGAGGATAAATTCTTAAATGAGTAGCATTTTATTCAAGGCACTTTGCAAATGGCCCAACAGGCCTCTGACCCGATCTCTGGACACTGCCCCTGTGGCTTCGTGCCAGCCTCAGGAGCTGCTTTGTTATGTCTCTAAGCCTTGCATATGCTGTCTGCACTGATTGTTTTCCCCTCTTTTCTACCTGCTGAAGAGTGTCTCATGCTGTAGACCATATCCGATGTCATGTTCTCCATGTGGTTTTCCCCAGGGCCCCGAGGCAGAGTGAGTGAGCTGTCCTCTGGGTCCCATAGCCCTCTGTTTGCCCCTCAGTTATGGTGCATTGCCAGTTTATTGTGATTGCTTGTGGGTTCCCTTGGGAACCAGTCTCATTCATCTTTCCATTTCTAGGGCCAAGAATGAAACCTGGCACACTGAGGGAATTCAATATGTGTTTACTGAATGAAAAAAATGAAGGAATAAAGGGGGATGTGCAGGAACTTTATTGTAAGGCCTTCACTTAGATCAGGTTTAAGAAAACAGGCTGCTGTTCTTGTCCTTCCTCCCAGAAGCAGACCTTCATTAACATAGAACTGATCTTCATTAACACAGAACCAGACTTCATTAATAGGACCAGATCTTATTAAGATATATGTTTAGGGCCTTTAAAAAACAAAAAAAGCTGTCTTGTCTTTCAGGGGTTTGAGGAATCTGTTTCCTTCCACTGATGCACTTTAATTTTCTCTTGATAGACACAAAAGCAGTTTGGATGGACACCCCAAGGGAGGTCAGTTATGGCATGGGCATTGAAAGAGCTGTTTGCTGACCCATGGATGTCCTTGCTTGTAGGCTCGGGGATCCATGTGAGGCACTCTCTGTTGTGTGTGAGGTTCTTTCAATCTTTCTGGCAGAGCTGCCCTTTTGGCACAACAAGCCAGGGTGATTTCTTCTGTGGTGGGCTGCAGGTGGCTGGCCAAGGTCTCAGGGAGGAATCCCCATGTGCACACAAATCCATTCTCTATCTGCCTATCCCATGCATGGTGTGTATTAGCTAGCACTGCTTCTCACTCCTTCATGCCCATCCCTCATGCCCCATATGGAGCCTTTGTGTGAATTAGAAAAATCCAGTATCTTGCATAGACACAGCTCTATGGTGCATGGCTTAGTGATCTGACAGTGTTTTTTTTTTTTTTTAATTTTTATTTATTGTTATTTTATATTGTTCTATTTTTATTTTACTTTAAGTTCCACTATACGTGTGCAGAATGTGCAGGTTTGTTACATAGGTATACGTGTGCTGTGGTGGTTTGCTGCACCTATTGACCTGTCCTCTAAGTTCCCTCCCCTAAACCACACCCCTCAACAGGCTCTGGTGTGCGTTGTTCCCCTCCCTGTGTCCATGTGTTCTCATTGTTCAACTCCCACTCATGAATGAGAAGATGTGGTGTTTGGTTTTCTGTTCCTGTGTTAGTTTGCTGAGGATGATGGCTTCCAGCTTCATCCATGTCCCTGCAAAGGACATGATCTCATTCTCATTTTTATGGCTGCATAGTATTCCATGGTGTATATGTGCTACATTTTCTTTATCTAGTCTACCATTGATGGGCATTTGGGTTGGCTCCATGTCTTTGCTATTGTAAATAGTGCTGCAATAAACATATGTGTACATGTGTCTATATGGTAGAATGATTTATGTTCCTTTGGGTGTATACCCAGTAATGGGATTGCTGGGTCAAATGGTATATTTCTGGTTCTAGATCCTTGAGGAATCGCCATACTGTCTTCCACAATGGATGAACTAATTTACACTCCAACCAACAGTGTAAAAGTGTTCCTATTTCTCCACAGCCTCGCCAGAATCTATTTCTTCTTGACTTTATTTTATTTATTTATTTATTTTTTAAGATGGAGTTTTGCGCTTGTTGCCCAGGCTGGAGTGCAATGGCGTGATCTCGGCTCACTGCAACCTCTGCCTCCCGGGTTCAAGTGATTCTCCTGCCTCAGCCTCCCAAGTAGCTGGGATTACAGACATGCACCACCATGCCCGGCTAATTTTGTTATTTTTAGTAGGGACGGGGTTTCTCCATGTTGGTCAGGCTAGTCTTGAACTCCCGACCTCAGGTGATCCACCTGCCTTGGCCTCCCAAGGTGGTGGGATTACAGGCATGAGCCACCGTGCCCAGCTGCTTCTTGACTTTTTAATAATTGCTGTTCTGATTGGCATGAGATGGTATCTCATTGTGGTTTTGATTTGCATTTCTCTAATGATCAGTGGTGTAGAGCTTTTTTTATGTTTGGTGGCCATGTAAATGTCTTCTTTGGAGAAGTGTCTGTTCATATCCTTTGGCCATTTTTTGATGGGGTTGTTTTTATTTTGTTGTTGTAAATTTGTTTAAGTTCCTTGTAAATTCTGGATATTAGACCTTTGTCAGATGAGTAGATTGCAAAAATATTCTCCCATTCTATAGGTGGCCTGTTCACTCAACCTGACAGTGTCTTTGTGCAAAGACAGACTTTTTCTTCACAAACCAATGGCAATGGGTTAATGGTAATGGTAATGTCTTCAGGCTCTACCTAAAAATTTTTTTGCTCATAGACTTTTAAAATAATCGTTATTTAATTAATTATGATTTATTTATGATTTTTATTTACTTTTATTTTTATGAATTTTTATTTTAGAACAGTTTTAGATATACAGAAAAACTGCAAAGATAATACAGAGATCTCATACAGCCTACACCCGGTTTCCTGTATTATTAACCTCTTACATTAGCTTGGTACATTTATAACAGTTAATGAACAAATATCTGTACATTCTGAGCAGCGAACATCCACACGGTATTCAGATTTCTTTAGTTTTTAATTAAATGTCCTTTTTCTGTTCCAGGATCCCATCTAGAATGCCACATTACATTTAGTCATCATGTCTTTAGGCTCCTCTTGGCTGTGATAGTTTTTCAGACTTTCCTTATATGCTAGTCCCTCTGTTTCCAAGGGGGTTGGTTCCCTCAGGTACCAAAATGCTCAGAGGTTCAAGTGCCTGATATAAAATGATGTAGTATTGTCATATAATTGATGCACATCCTCCCATATACTTTAAATCACTTCTAGATAACTTGTAATACCTAATACAATGTAAATATTAACTAGTTATTGTATTGTTTAAGGAATAATATAATAAAAATATTAAGTAAATAATAATAATTTCAATAGCAATAATTTTAATAATTTAATTTTATTAAAACAACAAAATTTTATTAAAATAATTTTAATAGTTTAATTTTAATAATAATAATTATAATTAAGTATAATAATAAGTAGTTATTGTATTGTTACGGGAATAATGACAAAAATGTCTGTGAATGTTCTCTACAGATGCATTTTTTTTTTCTGAATATTTTCCTTCTTTGGTTGTTTGAATCCATGGAACCCATGGATATGGAGGCTCAACAGTATTTGGTGCCTTTGGCTGTTTTGAAGAGCGCTGGTCAGGTGTTCTGTCACAAGTTCTTCAAGTGGTTTATCTAATGTTTTCTCCATGACTAGACTGGGTGTTTTAGACTGATTGTTTAATAAGTTTTATTTCTGTTTAGGTATGGTAAGGTCAACAGATAAGGAGACAAATGCCATTGTAAAGAGAATTTGTTACCACAGTTCCCAACAGAGGGCTTCCATGTCATGTTATGGGGCCATCTGGGGAAGGACTGGTGTCAATTAGGAGGTGGGGGTGGGACATTGTGGGCAGGAACCTTTGTGGTGGTTTCTGCAAGAAGGAACAGGCAAGGCAGGGTAAGCAGGGTTGGGACTGGCTGGTTTGAATGACTTCAGGGGGCTGGAGCCTAGGGGCTGCCTAATACCTAGTTGCCTGGTACCAGGCCCTGGGGTGATTAGGCCCAGTAGAGAGTGGCCAGGGGTGTGAAAGTCCTACAAGGGAGGTAGTTGGGGTGTGGACTCTGGATTGGCCGATTTGTGTTTTAAAAGCACACCCCTGGAAGGAGGACTTCCCCTGAGGAGTTGGGGGTTCGGGGAGAGTGGGGCAACAAGGGAGGCAAGAGGCCAAGGTCAGGTGACTCGGGCATACTATTGGTTGTCCAGAACTAGCTGTGTTGGGCACATGCATGTAGGGCAGATGTTACAGCATCAAGTTTATGGAAGCTAGAAACATGCCTACTACACAGAGCAAAGTGACATTTTCATGACATCATATCAAGGGCACACACTATCAGCACAACTTCTCACTGAGTTTGACCTTGATCACCTGGCAGATCAGGCTCTCCTTTTGTAGACACCGCTTTCACTTGATGCCCACCTTTAACATTTATCTCACATGTTTGAAGTTTTACATGCATAAACATACATGTAATTTTCCCGGGTCTTGATATTGTAGAAGAATCAACCTGTTGATCGTGAGTTCTAGTTCTTAAAGGTGGTGCCCTCTTTGGGGTGCGTGTCTCCATAGAATGGAGTCTTGGGCTTCAGGCAAGCCGAGTTTATAGGGGAGACTTGTGTTTGAACATCCTCACGGTTCCCTAAAATGGTAGTGCTTTATATACTTCCAATTGCTGACTAAACATCTAAATAGATACCTGTGGCTCTGTCAGGAGTTAGGGCTGATCACCACTGCAATGAGACAAGATATATCCAATAACTTAGCTTTGAGTCAAAATACTCAGAGTGGTAGCCTATTTTCTACATATAAATGTAAAAATTCCTGGTTACAGCTCTCTAACGTTGGTGGAGATGATGAGGAATATATAAATTTCCCTGCTCTGCTTTGGAAGATCCTGAGTTGGGGAAGGCAGGACGTGGAGTCAACTGGTGGATGATTCACCTGCATCTCTCTTTTCCCTATGCCTCAGGGTCTAAGTCACAGAATTGTCTGTGGAACTCCCTCATCGACGGGCTCACAGGGAATGTCAAGGAGAAGCCACGGCCAACAATTGTCCATGACCCTCGACCCCCAGAAGAAATCCTAGCTGATGAATTGCCACAGCTGGATAGCCCGGAAGTCTTGGTGAAGACGTCCTTCAGGTTTGGTGGATTGCAACTCACTGTGTTCCTTCTTATTTGCTTGTGGAATTGTTTCAATCCAGTTAGATGCATAGTCAGTGTGGACAGCAAATTACTTCATTTCTTTGCACTGAGTAAATTAGAATTGATGAAGGAAGGTTGGAATCAATACTAGCTGGACTTCTGGCTGGATTTCCTGAATGTAGTGAAGATCTTATCAGTAGTTAAGTTGCTGTTGGTATTTAATTGGTATTGGCATTTAAATGCTGAGGCAAAGGATTTACTGATGTTGGCAATTTGAATTGGATTAATGAGTCTTTTGCTTCAAAGGAGGATGACGCATCCAGATAAGGGCGTAGAAGAAAAGCACGTGTTGGGAATTAATTCAGTCCTGTGTCTTTAGAGTCTCTTGCTGGGGGAAGGTTTCCAGTTGTAAAAGATGTAAGAGCTGCTGCTGACGGAAATGAAGCGAGAATTTTCTCATGTTGTTTACCAGGTGGCTGTTTACTCTGTTCTAGTTCATCGTTTAGCCTTGCATCTTCCCGCAAGGTCTCTTATTTTCTTTTGGTATTGTACTCCATTTTCATTATAACTCCGTCCCTTACCTTCTCACCCATATTAAATAAAAACCAATCTGAGTATGAATGTGGTGTAAAAAGGTGATTTTTTTTCCCCGAATGGGTCTTTCAGACTCACATTTGAAACAGTATATTTACAGTACTACTGGTTTCAGAAATTAAGACTCGATCATTTTTCCAGATTGCTTTCTGCCCCTCCTTTCTTCCTGTTATATCAATTTTACTTCTTTCACTTTTCTTTCCACTGTAGACTTTCATACTCTCCACATGGTTAGCAGAACATATAAACCTCATTTTTCTTTCCCCATAAACAATTCAGACAGCTCTTGGAGTTCCATGAAATAGATTTGAAAAGTGTACTCTCTTTTGCATCCAGGTGATATGCGTAATTCCTCAGTGAGAGCCATTTCATTGTGTGAAGGTTCTTAGCGTCTATTGAATTATAGATGAGTTCAGAAAGGAGTGATAAATAGGGGTTTGGATTTCTTTATACAGTGTGACGAGTGCATTGGTGAGACAAGAATTGCAGGCAAATGCTGTTTTTATTCCTACTAAGGGCCTGGTTATTGCATCATAAGGTTTTGAATAAACTAAAACTCACTCACCTGGAGAGAAGTACATCTTATGAACCTGCAATTCTCAGCAAGTGACTGTGATGAAAGAGGGGACTGTGAATGGCTTTCTCTGTCTAGGTGTTCTCGCCTTGGAGCATCTCTTATGGAGTCAATCTCTTCTCCTAAGGGTTCTTATAGCTACTCTTTTCACCCCAAACCAGGTTCATCATCTTCTTCGATGAACGGGCAAAGAGCTACTCTCATGAAAAGAACATCTTATTTGCTCACTCAACTCCTTTACTATCATCTGTTTTGTTCGCATTCTCTTGGTGCTCTTTAATAGAGAGAATGTATTGATGCCCATGAGTGTCATTTGATCTGTTAGTTGTACCATGTAGCAGTGTCCTGGTTTCTGAAAGAGATTAAGTTATACATTGAATATCAGGACTTATTTCTGTTTCCTTGTAACACTTGGTGCTGTAGGAAGAAGACTGCAGGTGCATGCAGGTATATGCCAACCCTTTAGTGATTGAGACAAGAAATCCATTAGTATTTATTTATTTACTGGTACCCTTAATACAACTGTGTACTATTCTGTAGCTATCCTTTCTTCTAAAAAAGATGGTTGATTTTGGTGACAATGCTAAATGGTAAATATTCTCTTCTGCAATTGTCCTTAACTGTGGTGGCATGATCAGCTGTGAGATTTGTTGTGCATAAATTATTACAAGTAAACTACTCAGGTATGGGAAGAGTTTATCAATGAATAAATCAGAGCAGAATCAAGGTTACCTTACAGCTCCTCTGTAGGGTCATTACCACTGAGTGGTACCACAATAAGTGTTAGTGATAGCTTTGATTACTTCCTTCTCTTTTTCCTTGGTCATACTTGGAGGGCATTTGGAGTTTAGGGCCAGGAAATATGGTCATCAGCTCTCACCAAACAAGATACAAGAGACAATGTCAATAAGCCCAATGTGCCAAATTATCAGGAGGTCCAGTCTTTTCTTGGGGTTCTTGACCCTCACTATTCCCAAGGACCCCCAGCCTTATTGACAGTGGTTCAAGAATCATTGCTTATCCTGCTATGCCTTTTGTCCCTTGCTAGGGAAATGAGGTCTCATGTTGAGCGTGGACTTTCTGACCTCAGTGAAATTAGGCGTTTTTGTCACCAACCTAGATTACCTCTTCCTTGTGATGTCTCCTGTCTGTGGCTTCTGTTGTCTTTTCCTGATCCTTGGCCTCAGCATAACCACAGTTTTTCTCAGACATATTCTAATAATGTTGATTCTCAAAAGGAAGGGGTTAGATACTTAATTCCACTTTCCCCAGAAATCTTTTCTAGCTCTCTGTAAGGTGGAGGCAACTATATACAAGCTATCACCAGGATAAAATTTGTGTACTTGTTTAATATTTGCATTTAGTATTTTCATTTAAGTAGTTATTTTCAGAGCAAAGGGACAGTCTGCTCTAAAGCTAAATTCTACTTTCCATTTCCAAATATATGAATTATTTACACATTTATCAATGATGGGTGTTTTTCAAAATAATTTCAAATGTTTTTATGTTTCAGTCTCCACCAGACTCCCTGTTACATCAGCAATAACTGTTCTTATTTGCCAGGCTTAACCCAAAAAACTGAAGGATTCTGTCCATTTTAGAGATGAAGAAACTGGCCTGGAGAGAGAAAGCCTATAAAAAATTGCTGGTGGATTGCTGGTCTCCAATGCAGCAGCAAGAAGTGGCTTGGGAAAACTTTAAGTCTTACTTTATCACCCCACCCCAAATAAGTATATCATCTATAAACTCACGTAAAAAGCATGCTTGTGATTCAAATGCAGCTTCAAGACATGTCCCTGGGCCTTGTCTTCCAATCAGGCTGTGATCCCTAAGTATGACCTGCAAACACTCTGGATTGTCGCTGGATTAATGTCAGTTACTAATAATGCCAGAGGGTATAGCTGAAAGTGAGAATTTGACACACTGACTTGGAAATAAAGCTTTTGGAAAATGAAGGCACCACCTTTCTTTCCCAAGGGTTGTGTGTCGATAGTTGAGGTTTGTGCAAATGCCATCTCAACTCTGGGTATGGTCCCTGACAGTCTTCCCTCTTGTTCCCTTCCTGGCTGGGCAGTGCTGATGAGGCAAATACTCTGTGTATTGGGGCAGACAGTTTAGCAGAGTCTTGGGATGAAGCTTCCAGGGCTTGAGGGGAAGGTCTCCTCGTGGCTGCCCAGGTTCAGATCCCAGCTAATATTGCTGGAAGGCAACACAGTTTAGTGCTTAGTTGTGCTAAGGGCTTTAGTCTTTACTCTCCAAGAAAGGAACAGTTTAAGCTATCCAGGTGGGAAAATTTGACTTCTGATAGTGGCTGTACTGGATTTCAGTTCCAACTCTATTACCCCTGGCCAATTGCTTCATCTCTTCAAACCTCTGTTTTTTTCTCCTCCCCCCAAACCCCCAGCTTTATAAAGGTATAATTGACAAATAAAATTTGTATATCATTTACAATGTAAAATAATGTGATGTTTTGTTGTATGTGTACATTGCAAAATGATTAAATCAAGCTAAATAACATATCCACCGCTTCACATAATGTCTTTTTTTTTTTTTTTTTTGGTGGCAAAACCTCTGTTTTCTTAACTGTCATACTAAGGTTGGGCTTGAAGAGTGGTCTGATGACTCAAACTTGAGTGTGCATCACAATCACCTGGGGGGGATTGTTAAAACAGATTGTTGGGCTCATCCCAGATGTAGGTGGGGCCCAAGAATGTTCCCTAACAAGTTTCAGGTTATACTGATGCTGCTGGTCCAGGATCACACCGGAAGAACCACTGCACTAGGTGAGATTTAGGAGTGTTTTGCTATGTTAATTTGAGCGGTCACTTACCTATTGATATGGTTTGGGTCTGTGTCCCCACCCAAATCTCATCTTGAATTGTAATCCCATATGTCAAGGGAGGAATCTGATGGGAGATGATTGGCTTATGGGGGCATTTTCCCCATGCTGTTCTTGTGATAGTGAGTGAGTTCTCAGAAGATCTGATGGTTTTATAAGCTTCTGGCATTTCCCCTGCTTAATCTTCTCTCTCTTGCTGCTATGTGAAGAAGGTCCTTACTTCCTCTTCACCTCCTGCCTTGACTGTGAGTTTCCTGAGGCCTCCCCAGCCATGTGGAACTGTGAGTCAATTAAACCTCTTTCCTTTATAAATTACCCAGTTTCAGGTATTTATTTATAGCAGTGTGAGAACAAACTTACCTATTCTGGCCTGTTTTAAAATCTTTGAAATGGGGATAAAGAGACCCCCTTCCCGGGGTTTGGGGAGGATTTAAAGGAGATAATGCATGTGAATGAGCCAAGCACGGTGTCCAGCACCCAGAACGAGCTCAGTAAGTGTTAATTTTGTATTCGTGCTCAGCACTCACTGGAATCCTTGCATGCCCTTGAGCCTACACATACAAAGTTAAATAGGATCAAACATGGGTTTTGTGGCTCCACGTGCAGACACTGTGGGCCCTGAAAGCTCACTAAACTTGTGGCATGAAAGGTCTGTTTTCAAAATCTGAGATTTTTGAAAAGAAGAAAGTGGGAGCCATAAAGAAAGAAAAAGGCTTCGGTGCCTGGAAAATAGACACTCCTGGGAACTCACCTTGGGTGCCTCTTTCCTTCTTTCTCATATTTTATCCCTTTAAACCTGTTGCTCTGCTTAGCTTTTCTTAAAAGAGGATAGAAAATAAATTGAACCTGGGGCTAAGGAAGACAGACGAGTCCATCTAGTCTGATTAGTCACAGGAATCTCAATACCTGCCACTAGAGGACCCAAGAGAACAGGAAAGAGCTGGCTGCTGAGAGAGGTTTCTCTCCCCAGCCTCTGGTGTACACATTCCC